TGACCTGTCATGGATGGAATTAGTGCTATAAGAGGTTTGAGAGGGGCCCCTTGGCCCTTCCACAGTGTAAGGACACAGAAAATACTGTCTATGAAGAACAGCCCTCACCAGACACTGAAGATGGTGACACCTTGATCTTGGGTTTTCCAGCCTCTGAAACTATGAGCAATAAGTTTCTACTGTTTAGAAACTACCCAATCTAAAGCATTTTGTTGTAGCAGCCCAAATGGACTAAGACAATCTCCAAAACAGATCAACAAGCTCAAAAGAAAAAAATTAACAAGCTCAGCTGCTGAAATGACACTGCCCAGGGAGACTACAGCTTTGGATCTGGGGCACTACAGAGCCAATAGAGGAAAACAAAAAACCAGAGTATTTCCTCATTCTCTCCATTCTTTGGAGGCCTTCTTGTCATACTTTTATTAGAGAGAGATTAATTTTCTCTTGGCTGTGCTTTTTACAGTGTTCTAGAATTTGGGTTTTTTTCAGACTAAACCAGGAGATAATAGAGGGAAAAAAATATGAAACATCATTTTGTTGTTCTTTGATTTGATTTCCTCTCCAGTTTGTTTGCTGTTACTTTTCAGAGCTTCCTGTTGTTTAGGTTTTTTGTTTTGTTTTGGTTTTTTGAGTCATTAGTTTTTTGTTCCATGTATTCTGTCCAAGATTTTTCTTGTCATCAGATTATCAGGAGAAATAGAGTATGCATATGCCATCTTAATCGGAGATGGAAATGTACTTTTTTTTTTTCTTGTTTGTTTATTATGGGATCATCTATGCTGCCAGGCTCTTCTGAAAGCCCTGAGCTCAACTGATACTCTCACCTCAGTCTCCTGAATAGCTAGAACTACAGGTGCACATCACCACACTTGGCAATAAAGAAACTTTATGATGCTGGTGTGACCTGTTGCGATGGACTTGTGTAAATTTTATGGTATCCAGGCTGTGCCACTTTAAGCATATTTGAATCAAAATTTACCTAGCTTAAAAGTAAATAGCTTGTGCTAACAGGCACTTTCAGTTTTACAAATCTTCTTATAAACTGCCTAGTAATTTCACAAATTATAGCAATGATTTAAGTCACACAAATAGACATCCTATCTGGATTATACTATAGAATTCAGCTTGTGCTACAAAGCAGCAGGGAGAAAAAGCTGTTGTGCTGCTCTTCAGTTTCAAACAGCTGAACTTAACTTTGAATATATAGTTGTTTTGCTATGTAAATATATGTAATCCATGTCTCATAACTGCAACTGCTGGAGGACTATTGTTTTAAGTTGCTATATAACACACATAGGTAGATTGGATGTGCTGGCACACACCTGTAATCCAGCTACTTGAGAGGTTGGGGGTGAGGCCAGCCTGCATCATTTAGCAAAAAGAAAGAAAAAAGATTAAAAGGGTGAGGATGCAGGTCAGTGGTCAGTACTCTGACCACTGGGTTCAATTCCCAGTACCACAAAACAAACAAACCATGTTGGTATGTGAGAAATGTAAGACATTATGGGTTTAACTTGGGTGCTGATACACACATTTTATCATCCTTTTAAAAATTATTACCGGATTTTTTTTAGACACAATGTCACTGCCTCTTCCCCCACTTCCTTCTTCTGTGTGTGACTATGTTGCCAAGGCTGGACTTGAATTCCTGGGTTCAAGTGATCCTCCTGCTTCAGCCACCTGAGTAGCTACATACCCAGCTCTACTGGATCTCTTATAACATCCATTCTGTGTTTTCTGTAGAGTTTATTAAATTGATTTAAATGAATATATTAGAAAATCAGTTTACCCGCATTTTAATCTGGTCGCACTTGAAATTTACCACAAAGTAAATAAAATTGATTTTATTTCCCCCACTTGGTGACATTAAAGAAAGAAAATTTTAAAACTCTATTCATAACCTTAGTTTCTATCTGAATATTTATCTTACTCCTCAAGTAGTTTGGCACTTTCTTTTTAGTCTTCAAAGCCAATCTGGTAATTCATTAGTAGATGAATATCTTTGATTCTCAACATGATGTCCAGTTATTGATACCAAACAGCCTATAAACCTCTGTTTCACTGGAATCATGCTATAAAAATTAGCTTAGTTTAAAAAGCAAGTGTAATCTTCATGACCCTGTCTGTATTTGGTAATAAGGATTTACTGTCCAGAATATATAAAGAATCCTCACAACTGGGCACGGTGGTGCACACTTATAATCCCAGCACTTGGGAGGTTGAGGCAGGAGGATTGCCACGAGTTTGAGGCCAGACTAGATTACACAGTGAGTTCAAGGGCAGCCTGAATTACATAGTAAGACCCTGTCTCATAAAACCAAAAGGCAAAAACAAACAAAAAGAATCCTTACAAGTCGGCAACAGCAACAAAAAAACAAACAATCTGATTCAAGAATGAGCAAAGGTCTTGACATTTCTCCAATGATGATATAAAAATAGTCAATAAATACATGAAAAAATACTCAACTTTGCCAGGCCTCATGGTGCACACATGTAATCCTAGCTACTTGGGAGGCTGAGGTAGGAGGATCATAAGTTCAAGATCAGTCTGGGCAATGTAATTCGACCATGAGACCCTGTCTCAAAATAAAATTTGCAAAAGGTCTGCGGAGGGGCCGGGGATTTAGCTCTGTGGTTTCGCCACCTGCTGCGCAAGCGCAAGGACCTGAGCTCGATCCTCGGTACCAAAAAAAAAAAAAGGTCTGCGGAGGAAGCTCAGTGATAGAGTGCTTGCTTAGCATGTATAAGGTCCTGGGTTCAATTCTCAGTGCCACATTGAAAAATAAAACAGAAAATGGAATGAAGTTTCTGATATAGCCGATAACATGGATGAAACCTTGAAGAGGTTATCCTAAATGAATCAGGCTTTAAAAAAAGGAGAAATAGCCAGGAATAGTGACACATACGTGTAATCCTAGTACTCAGGAGGTTGAGGAAGGAGGATTGCCATGAGTTTGAGGCCAGCCTCAGCTACATAATGAGTTCAAGGCTGGTCTGAACTACATAGTGAGACCCTGTCTCAAATAAAACAAAACAAAATGGAAACTATTATAGGATAACACTCATGTGAAATATCTAGAATAGACACATTTCTAGATAATAGACAATAGGCTAAAGGGAAGGAAGGTGGAAAGTCACTGAAAGACACAGAAGAGAGGCAAATGAGCAGAGCTGATCATTGGTCAGTGGTGAGATATGAAGTCTCACTTGGGGCTGCCCAAGTCATTGCTTTTTATTTTTCTTGACTTGAGCTTCTGTAGGCAGATCCACTCCTCTCATCTTCTTTTTTTTTTTTTGGTACCGGAGATCGAACTCAGGACCTTGTGCTTTCGAGGCAGGCGGTGGAGCCACTGAGCTAAATCCCTGGCCCTCCTCTCATCTTCTTTAGGTACATCTGAGATTGGTGCCAGGCATGGTGGCAACACACCTGTAATCTCAGCACGCAGGAGGCTGAGTTAGGAGGACCACCTCGAGTTCGAGGCCAGCCTCGAAACTTGTGTGACCTTGTCTCAGAAACAAAAACAAAAACAAAAACAAAACAAAATATCTGACATTTGTATTGGAGATATATATACTCTTCGGAGGCTCAACAATGTTCTGAGCTCATTTCCTATTTATAGAAGGTTAGAGGTCACAGAGGCATTTTAAATCTCCACAGGCTCTTGGTCTCTTTTGAAGTACAATTATCTCAAGTCAAAAGAGTTATCTCTTATTCACTTGATTCCAATCAGCCTCATTTGCTAATGGTTATACCCAAGGTCCTTTTGTAGATGTGTCTCCATTTATCCATCTACATAATTTTAGGTACCTTGAGTCCAACAAGGTTGGTGGGACAGTAAGTAATATCTTCATTCCCTTTCTAGGGCCATTTCATCCAAATGCAAAGGTTTACTTGGTGGTGCCTAAATCCTTGTAGAGATATTAAGTATAGGTGCACAGAGATGTGCTTGATTTGATTCTTGGCTAAAGGGCTGGTTTTGTTGTTGTTATGTTTTTTGTTTCTGAGACAGTGTCTCACTTTATAGTTCAGGCTGGCCTTAAATGCACTATGTAGCCCAGGCTCGCCTTGAACTCGAGGCGATCCTTGTGCCTCAGCCTCACAAGTTGATATAGGGGTAAGAGAGTAACTCCCAAACCTGCTAGGTATCAGAAACTCGAGTTCGTGTTCTCTAAAATTGAAGAAGGAATTCTTGGAACAACGGAGGTTAACAGTAGGAAAAATTTATCGAGAGAAAGAAAGCTTCTGCCTAAGAGAGAAGGGGAATGGGAAAATGGGTTGCCCACTCACCCAACTTCTCAAAGGTGTTTTATGGGACAAAGCCATGAGGTGAGGTGGGTTCAAGGAGGGACAAAACTGTAGTCAACTAGTAAGATTACAATACAGTCACTTAGGTAATATTGACCCAATGAGAAATCACAAGGTGGACAAAACTATGAACAACCAATAAGATTATGACAAGTACAGATGCTTAGGAAATATTGATTAAATGGGATCCAATGGGGAAACAAGTCACATAGCAAGTGCACAAGGAATGAGCAAAGATTTTCTGTGGAAAGGAGTGGATCAGGGATCTTTCTTGGAAGATCTTTGTCCCCCACCCAGGTGACCAAACCTATTTAGAATATCAGTCACTCCTATTCATCCTTAGGAGAAGCAGGTGGGTGTGGTAATTTTTCTCCTTTTACAATGCTGGCCTTCAGTGCATGTCTTGATTGTCCTCCATATTGGCTCCTCGTGGGCTGGCCCTGTTTAACTGCCTACCAGATTAATTTATCTATCTGCAATAAAGTAGCTGAGATTACAGGTATTTGCTATCATGCTCAGCTCCATATTCTTTATTAACTTCCAAGTCATCATAGATCACAGTTTTATCAAATACTGCAATACCTAATATGGATTACATTCCTTCTGCTTCTAAAGTCAATTGACTTGCACAACCTCATTACTTGATTTCTAAATCAATGCCACGAAAATTATGTTTTTGTTAAAACACACCTACCTCATCTGTGGTGTTCATGGAGGATGAAATCATCTCCTCAAGACAGTTGTTTGCGGCTGATTGGGATTGCAATCTGTTGCTCCAAGATTCTATAAAATGGCAGCTTTAAGCCACCAGGGGTTTGGAAATTACAAAATTTGTTAGTCAGGAATTATGATTGGCGCTGGCAGAAGTTCAGCTGTGGTAGAAAAGGGATTAGGTGCACTCTTTGTCTTTGAGTAGTTGGCAGGAAGGAGTCTTTTACACAGAAGGGGTTAATAGTGTTTCTGGAAACTTGGGTTTTGCCCAGTCCAAAGGTCAACTCACATCCAGAGTGGATTTATATGCAGCTTAATTCAAAGATTCTGCTGCACTTGTGTCTGAGTTCTGATGAACCGTGGCTTCCCAACTCCATTTTAAATGCCCTCAGCTTGGGTGGGGGTGGGGGTTGGGGAGGTAAGTATGCTTACCTGCTATGCAGCAGGCCCTAGGTTCTGTCCCCAGTACTGTAAACAAACAAGCCAACCAAAAATCCAAGAATTAAACAGATAAGACAAAACAAAAAAAAGAAAACAAGAAAAACTAAAATAACCAGGGACCTGAACCAACTATACTCCAATTTGAATTTTTCCTTGACATTGGCCATCAATTTATGTATTAATTGATATAGTCTAGGTTTTGCCAAAATCTTAATAATAGCTAGGATGTAGCTCAGCAGTGGAGTGCTTGTCTAGCATGGTCAGAGCCCTGGGTTCAATCTCTAGCAATGAGGGAAAAACTTAATTACTTATGAAACAGGAAACTGTGAGGACCTGGACAGACCATTATTAACGTGAAGATAGGAGGAAAAAGTGGCTTTTAATGTCGGTGGCTCAGCAAGTGACTCCTGTCAGTCGCGAGAGCACCCAATAGAAGTTTGTTCTTCCTTATATACCTCTTTTTACATCTACAAGGCTTACTTTCATTGGAGTTTCCCTGGAATATAGCAAGCAGGATTTATACAAAGCAGAGCAACAGGTGTGTGTGTGTGTGTGTGTGAGGGGGAGAGCAAAGAGTTCTGGCAGGACTTTGTTTGTTTGTTCGTTTTTTGGTACTGGGGATTGAACTGGGGACCTTTCCCTTGCAAGGCAGGGTCCCTTGCAAGGCAGGTGCTGGATCCACTGAGCTAAATCCTGGCCTGACAAGACTTTCTGATTCTGTTACGCTCCTTTGGTGACAGATTACAGAAATTGTCATGGATACTCAGATACATTCCACAAAGAATCTAGTTACCTAGCTAGCCCATAGTTCCCTAATAACACAGTTAACCCGTAGTTGCCTAATTCCATACAGAGAGGTGGTCTCCTCTCTCACTTATACTAATGAAAATCTATTTCTTGTCCATGGTGTATATTTCTGGCTGGTTAGTGGAGCCTCACTCTAAGGTACAATCTGAAAAGTAGTCATAATTAGGCACATTGCCTGATTCAAAGACAGAGAGGAAGTAAGTTCTGGAGAGTCACAAGTTGGCAATTCAGTGCTCAGCCCCAGGTGACACATTTCTTCTCATCACAACTCATTGGGCAGAACTAGTTCTGTGGTCCCGCTCAATAAGAAGAGAGCCAAGAAGCACAATCCACTACAGAAAGTACCCTGAAGGTAGTGTGGGAAATATTGGTAAACAACATAATCCAGTGTACTTTGGGACTGGTGAACACGGGGCCAAGGTTGCTAAAGTTGTAGCCTCTTTGTCCATTCCCAAGTTTAAGAGACCCGATCAGATTTAATCCAACAAATACATAGGGTACTGTATGTTCCTCTCAATGTTCTACAGATGAACCTGTGTTGACTTTGCTAGGCAACTGCGATTTAATGGGGAATTCCCAATGCTTTAATTTATATTTAACCTTGACTCTGAGATAAAACCAATTCCTTGATTCCCAATGGACTTTGGGACATCAGATAACTGAAGCTTTGTTGCAATCAACAAGCCCCAGGGGGCAGGAAACATGCCTGGTAACTTCTCCAGTTCTGAATATACAGGGGAAGAAAGGGCTTGAGTTTCATGAGATCATTCTAACTCAAAGAGGAAATCTATTATACTAAAAAAGACAAACAGAAGCCACCGGAGTGCACCTCTCCTGGCCAAGGAAGAAATGAAAAGTTCATTTCAGACTCTACAGATCCATCTCAAAAAACTAAAGGTTTACATAGCTGACTATTATGCACTGATATGAAAGTGACCTCATTCACATCCTCTAACAGGTAGATAATTTTTGGCAATCTTTTCTGGCTTTATTTTCAAAAAGCTTCCTTCCCCTGAAGAACTAACCAGAACAAGCCAGATTCCACTAATTTGGCACCTTGAAACAACTAACTGAACTAGTCTTTCCTGTTCTTGGGTCATAATTTCAATAGTTTTAGGAACTACAATAATGTAGAAACAAAATATATGATAAAGCAATGCCTACACCTCTGAAGTCCACATCCCTAAGCATCAAAAATTTCTTTTTTGGGAAAAAAATATAACTATTTGGATAGAAATACTTTTGGTCACTTTCAATTTCAGCCTTTTCTTTAAAGAATTTATTGTTATAAAGTGTATTTTTCTTGTCGATGTATTTTAAAAGTACTTTTAATCTCTTTACAATTATACATTTACTGAGCACCTGTTTTCTGAGTGAATATTTGTATACATGTACACACACACACATGCACACACATTTAGAATAGTGCCTAGCACATTTTATCACATACCAGGCATATTTTAGTTAAAAAAAGTTTTGACAAAGGTTGGGAGTACAGCTAGGCGGTAGAGTGCTTGTCTAGTATGCACAAGGCTCAGAGTTTGATCCCCAGCCATGAAAAAACAATTGGACAAGTATTGAGATCCAACATATATTCCACCTTCCAAGAATTTTCCCAAGGTCATATTATAGAAAAATTTAAAGTCACTATGCTAACACAATTATTTGTTTCTCTCTCTCTCTTCTCTCTCCCTGCCCCCCCCCCCCCCCCGGAGATTGAGCCCAGACCCTTTGCACTGAGCTACATCCCAGCCCTTTTTATATTTTTAAATTTTGAGACTGGGTCTCACTAAGTTGTTAAATTGCCTAGGCTAGCCTGAAATTTTCCATCTTTCTGCCTCAGCCTTGAGCGCCACCACGCCCAGCACTGTTTTCTAAATGTGTCTCCGCTTGGCATAGTTTTAATCATTTGTACTACAAAGAGGCATAAACTTAATGTATAGTAGCAGTGTGTTAAAAGGAAGGGCATAATCCTGTTCTACCATTTAATTATCACACTGGACCTAGAATGTTAATTTCAGGCTGGCCATCAGTTGACTAGGCTGTAGTGGTTGGAGGATTTCAACAAAGATAGAGGAGCCAGGAGTGGTGGTGCACACCTGTAATCCTAGCAGCATCAGGGTGGGGTGGGGTGGGGTGGGGTGGGGCTGAAGTTGGGCCCTGAGGCAGGAAGATCAGCAAATTCCAGGCCAGACTGAACTAGATGGGGAGTTCAAGGTCACCCTGAACTACACAGCAAGACCCTGTCTCCAAAAACCAAACCAAACCAAACCAACACCCCCTCCCCAAATCCCCTTGCAAAGCTCCAAAGATAGAGAAAAGCCTTTAAAAAGAAATGTTTGCCATGTGCAAACATGGAGCGAACCTCAACTGTAATCCTAGTTACTGAAGAGGTTGAGACAGGAGGACTGAGAGTTTAAGGACAGCCGGAGCAATTTTAAAAAGGTTTGGGATGTAGCTCAGTGGCAGAGTGCTGACTCAGGGACGAGGCCCTGGGTTCAATCTCTAGTAACGCGGCGGTGGTAATGGTGGTGCGGATAATGTGTGTGGGATCCATGCAGCCAGGAAGGGCTATGCCCCTCAGGTAACTGAGGTCTCTCGCCAAGGTTTTCTTCTTCTTTGCTGGTTAATAGCACTAGGCCCATTGGTGGCACCACTGTGGGTTCTTCTCAGCCTCAAGGTCTCAGGGTCGAGGCAAGGGTCATTTGCAACGGAACAAGCTTCTTACCCGGCTGCTGGTTGGAACCTGCGTCAGATCGAATCTGGTTTGTTTTCTGGTCACTGACTGTAATTTTTAGGAGCAGGTTGGTTTGATGTCAGGATCCACCTCTCCGTACTTAATCTGGGTGCTTTGCCACGAAGGACTTTGCCCTTCCTTTAGCAGCTCATCACCGTGTAACTCGCCACAGCCGGACAGTCCAGCGGAGGCCTCGGCTGAATACACCTCTTTTACCGCTTTCCCTCAGAGGGTTCAAACGAGAGGCAGTGCCCTCGGCGATCAGGCAGCGGCGAGCGAAGCCTGCGCAGGAGCCAGGCTCCGTCGCCTTAGACACGAAACTGAGAAGCGCAGCGCTGGAGCCGCCAGAGCCGAGCCGGGAACGGCGTTTGCCCGGGCCAAGGCGGAAGCCGGACCATTTGGGGGACAGGACCGCGGGAACCCGGAAACGCCTGGGCTGCGTCGAGGTGGCATCGGCGACGGTGGCGGGAGCCGGCGGCGCTGCGGCTCGGCGGGCTCTGCAGGCTTAGCAGCCTGGGGCGCCCGGCGTTGCTGAGCCGCGGGCCCCGGTGCGGGAAACCAGCAGAGTCGCGCCGGAGGTGAGTTCTGGGCGCTCCAGAGAATGGCAGGCGCGGGAGGCCTTCGGCCGCGGGGCAGCCGGGCAACTCCGGAGCCGGAGGAGGAGGTGGAGCGCAGGGGGATGAGGTGAAGGCGGGCATGGTGAAGGGGACGGCGCCCAGGACCTGACCTACGAGTTAAGCAGGAGCAGATGAAGTGACACGTTGTAACTCCGACCGTTGACGTCCGGAATGTGCTGGGTGGAGGAGGAAAAGGTCCTGGGGAGAGGGGTGTGTCAGGGAATGAGAACTGCAGTCTGAGCCTCGGAGCCTAGCCGTGCCGGACGCGGGGCGCGGGGCGCAGGGCGCCGGGCTGGGCTGGTGGGCAGGGCGCCCCCCGGGCACCGCACGCTGGGCTCCCGCCCGGCGTGCGACCCTGTGCTAGGGACGGCCGCGCCCGAAGGGGACCTGGCGCCCGTGAAGCCACAGGGACGTCAAGAAATGGAAAGGCTGCCCTTGGTAAGGCGAGTCAGAAGGCGAGTACTGTTTCAGGGTGTTTAGGAGTCGGACCGCAACAGGGGTGTGTGTGTGTGTGTGTGTGTGTGTGTGTGTGTGTGTAGGGCTCAGAGTATTCAGGAACTGATGATTTTTTTTTTTTTTTTGGTAATGGGGATCAAAGTCAGGACCTTGTGTTGTGAGGCAGGCAAGGCACCACTGAGCTAAATCTCCGGCCCTGGAACTGAGGATTTTAACTAACATTTTTATTTAAATCATCAAAAGCACCTCTTAATTCAGGAAGGTTAGTTCAAATGAATTAAAGAATGTCAAATGTAATGATGGGCCTTGCTTTAGTAAATGACTAAATTCATTATATGTTAGAGTAGAAGCTCGAGTCTTACTACATTCTATTAAATGCAGTTCGTGAAGATGCAGCTAGAGTTAAGTTTTTATCAACATTCGGTAGTTAAACATTTGGTAATTAAAGATGAAATTTGATATTTTTCACTTGGCAGTCTTAGTTTCATTGGTAAACTCAGGTTGTTTTCTTTAAAAGGTGATGACTTCTAAGTCTCTCTCCCCCTCTCTTCCCCTCTCTCCCCCCTCCCCC